GGTGATAGCAGTGACAGCGGTGACAGGAGTGACATGGTGACAGGAGTGACACAGTTACAGTGGTGACATGGTGACAGCAGTGACAGTGGTGACACGGTGACAGCAGTGACACAGTTACAGCGGTGACACGGTGACAGCAGTTGACATGGTGACATGGTGACAGCAGTGACAGCGGTGACACGGTGACAGTGGTGACATGGTGACAGCAGTGACACAGTGACAGCAGTGACAGTGGTGACAGGGTGACAGCAGTGACAGTGGTGACAGCAGTGACACAGTTACAGTGGTGACACGGTGACAGGGTGACACGGTGACAGCGGTGACACGGTGACAGCAGTGACAGTGGTGACAGGGTGACACACATCCATTAAAGAGCAGCGAGTCCCGACACACCTCCGCAACGCTGTAAATTAAATAAACAATAAATAAACGCGCCCATCCCCTAAAAAACCTTAATCAAAATGGTGAAAAATGTAAATTTTCCGTCCCCACAGTGCCGCCCTCGCCCGAGCTGGTCAAGCGCGTCCGGGACCTTTACCACAAGCGGCTGCCGGACGTCCGGTTCCTCATCCCCGTCCTCAACGGGCTGGAGAAGGTGGGGGTGGCCTCTGTCCCCTCCCCCCGGTGTCACCCGTCGGTGTCACCCATGGGTGTCACCCGGTGACGTCACCGGGTTCGGTTTTGGTGCAGAAAGAGGTGATCCAGGCGCTGCCCAAACTCATCAAACTCAACCCCATCGTGGTCAAGGAGGTCTTCAACCGCCTGCTGGGGACGCAGCACGGTAGGGGACGGTTTTTGGGGGGTGGCACGGCCGGTGTCACCCGTCCCTGTCACCTGTCACCCGTCCCTGTCACCTGTCACCCGTCCCCTGTCCCCGCAGGTGACGGCGCCTCGGCCGTGTCCCCCCTGAACCCCGGGGAGCTGCTGATCGCCCTGCACAACATCGACTCCTCCAAGTGCGACATGAAATCCATCATCAAAGGTGGGCACGGGGCACCCGGGGGTGGCAGGGACACCCAGGGGACACCCAGGGGTGGCAGGGACACCCAGGGGGCACCCAGGGGTGACAGGGACACCCAGAGGGACAGGGGACCCCCGCACAACATTGACTCCTCCAAGTGCGACATGAAATCCATCATCAAAGGTGGGCACGGGGCACCCGGGGGTGGCAGGGACACCCGGGGGTGACAGAGGGACACAGGGACACCCAGGGGTGGCAGGGACACCCAGGGGTGACAGAGGGACATAGGGACACCCAGGGGTGACAGGGGCACCCAGGGGTGACAGAGGGACATAGGGACACCCAGGGGTGACAGGGGCACCCAGGGGTGACAGAGGGACATAGGGACACCCAGGGGTGACAGGGACACCCAGGGGACACCCAGGGGACACAGGGACACCCAGGGGTGACAGGGACACCCAGGGACACCCAGGGGGTGGCAGGGGACACCCAGGGGGTGACAGGGACAGGGGGGACACAGGACACAGGACATGGGACCCCTGTCCATGGACTCCAGTCTCTCCCAGTTCCTTCCCAGTTCCTTCCCAGTGCCCTTTAAATGCCCCCCAGTCCCTCCCAGTGCCCCCCACTCCACTCCCAGTCCCTCCCAGTGCCCCCCACTCTGCTCCCAGTCCCTCCCAGTGCCCTTTTAATGCCCCCCAGTGCCTCCCAGTACCCCTCACTCTGCTCCCAGTCCCTCCCAGTGCCCCCCACTCCGCTCCCAGTCCCTCCCAGTCCCTCCCAGTGCCCCTCACTCCGCTCCCAGTGCCCCCCACTCTGTTCCCAGTGCCTCCCAGTGCCCCTCACTCTGCTCCCAGTCCCTCCCAGTGCCTCCCACTGTGCTCCCAGTCCCTCCCAGTGCCCCCCAGTGCCCTCCCAGTCCCTCCCAGTCCCTCCCAGTGCCCCCCACTCTGCTCCCAGTCCCTCCCAGTGCCCCTCACTCCGCTCCCAGTGCCCCCCACTCTGTTCCCAGTGCCTCCCAGTGCCCCTCACTCTGCTCCCAGTCCCTCCCAGTGCCTCCCACTGTGCTCCCAGTCCCTCCCAGTGCCCCCCAGTGCCCTCCCAGTCCCTCCCAGTCCCTCCCAGTGCCCCCCACTCTGCTCCCAGTGCCCTCCACTCTGCTCCCAGTGCCTCCCAGTGCCCCCCAGTGCCCTCCCAGTGCCTCCCAGTCCCTCCCAGTCCCTCCCACTGTGCTCCCAGTCCCTCCCAATTCCATCCCAGTGCCTCCCGCTCCCCTCCCAGTCCCTCCCAGTGCCCCCCAGTGCCCTCCCAGTCCCTCCCAGTGCCTCCCACTCCCCTCCCACTCCCCTTCCAGTGCCTCCCAGTCCCTCCCAGTACCCCTCACTCCGCTCCCAGTCCTTCCCAGTCCCTCCCAGTCCCTCCCAATTCCATCCCAGTCCCTCCCAGTCCCTCCCACTGTGCTCCCAGTCCCTCCCAATTCCATCCCAGTGCCTCCCAGTCCGTTCCCAGTGCCCCCCACTCCCCTCCCAGTCCCTCCCAGTGCCCCCCACTCCCCTCCCAGTCCCTCCCAGTCCCTCCCAGTGCCCCCCACTCCCCTCCCAGTGCCTCCCAGTGCCCCCCACTCCCCTCCCAGTCCCTCCCAGTGCCTCCCAGTGGTGTCACCGCGGCTGTCCCCGCAGCCACCAACCTGTGCTTCGCGGAGCGGAACGTGTACACCTCGGAGGTGTTGGCGGTGGTGATGCAGCAGCTGATGGAGCAGAGCCCGCTGCCCATGCTGCTGATGCGCACGGTGATCCAGGCCCTGACCATGTACCCCCGCCTGGGCGGCTTCGTCATGAACATCCTCTCCAGGCTCATCATGAAACAGGTTTGGAGCCCAAAATCCCCAAAAAATTCCATTGAAATCACCCCAAAAATCCCCCTGAAATTACCTCCAAATTCCCTCCAAAATTCCCCCCAAAATCCCCGATGTGCACGGTGATCCAGGCCCTGACCGTGTAACCCAGTCATGAATATCCTGTCCAGGCTCATCATGAAACAGGTCAGGGGCCCCAAAATCCCCCAAAAATTCCATTGAAATCACCCCAAAACCGCCCCAAAAATCCCCCCAAAATCCCCGATGCGCACGGTGATCCAGGCCCTGACCATGTACCCCCGCCTGGGCGGCTTCGTCATGAACATCCTCTCCAGGCTCATCATGAAACAGGTCTGGGGCCCCAAAATCCCCCCAAAATTCCATTGAAATCACCCCAAAATTCCTGCAAAAATCCCCCTGAAATTCCCTCCAAAAATCCCCCCAAAATCCCCAATGCGCACGGTGATCCAGGCACCATCATGAACATCCTGTCCAGGCTCATCGTGAAACAGGTTTGGAGCCCCAAAATCCCCTGAAATTACCCCAAAATTCCTGCAAAAATCCACTGGAATTACCCCAAAATTCCTGCAAAAATCACCTCCAGGTGTGTCAGTACCCCAAGGTGTAGGAAGGGTCCATCCCTTCTGACCCCAGGTGTGTCCCGGGTGCCCCCAGGTGTGTCCCAGGTGACCCTAGGTGTGTCCCAGGTGACCCTAGGGGTGTCCCAGGTGACCCCAGGTGTGACCCCGCTGACCCCAGGTGTGACCCCGCTGACCCCAGGTGTGTCCCAGGTGACCCCAGGTGTGTCCCAGGTGATCCAGGTGACCCTAGGGGTGTCCCAGGTGACCCCAGGTGTGTCTCAGGGGTGTCCCAGGTGACCCAAGTGACCCCAGGTGACCTCA